GGGGGGGGGGGGGGGGGGGGGGGGGGGGGGGGGGCAAAGGTTATCATGAATGAGAATCTCATCATGTTCTCCACGCCCCGGAACCCCCCCACTACCCGCGTCGGTTCCGATTGTTTGTCGATCCCACCGCCTCTTATTCGTTTTTTTGTTTCGGCTGCGGAGAAAAGGATTTGAGCGCTTCCCCGTTCCTGCTTGCCCTCGGAAACCGAGAAGAGCTGGTCCGCAACGGCAAGCTGACTTCCATCATTTTTGTTCGAGACGTAAACAGCAAGGGGCAGGAGGTCAGCGGCTACATCGACTACGCGCACCGGCTGAGGTCGACCAACTTCGAGCCGTACTTCGAGCGACGAAAAAAGGTGTTCCGTGTGGTCGTCTCGTGCTTTAGTTGTTATTTTGTGCGGCAGAACGAACGGTTGAATCTTAGCCCTAGACACTCAAGACTAACACAGCAAGCCTAAACAGCAAGACGATCATAGCAGCAGTAACTGTTAAGCAGCAGCAGTCAGTGTGAACAGTGACAAAAACAAAACTCAAGGGATCGTGTGACGGCAAACGCACAACGCTGGTGTGCGCCTTCTGCGAACAAAATCATCAACAAGATAAAAAAATAAAGCTGCCGTGGCGTTCACCTTTTTTCCCGCAACAGCAGCAGCAGCAGTAGCAGTGAAAATGTCTCACCCACGAACGTGCGAACTGAGGTTCTCCGGCATCAACCACCAATAACACAGCTCATGCCTAGACCGACGGACCTGAGCTACTACAACTGGGAAACCCAGACTTCAACGTCAACCTCTACGCCCAACTTCCAGGTAAGTTGTGGTTCGTCTCTACTTGCTTACATGCACCTTTCCTTCTGCCCTTCTTTTTGGATGTAGATTTTCTTTGCGCCCTTCACTGACAAGTAGATCGCGCAATCAACGGAGAGGGAGTTCTATCAGAGGCGGGAAGCGATTCGAGCAGAATAAGTCCCTGTGCTGTGGGAGCCGGGCGTAGATAATCCATAGAAGAAGAAAAACAACCAACCAGACAACAAACCGTCTTCGTCCTCCTGGTGTCGACAGACAGAGAGAGGAGGGAGCTCTTTTGGTTGAGACCAATAGTCCACGACGCCACTACTAGCACATTTTTTCTGGGCTAACTCTAGTACTCGGCGAAGCACTCATCATCTCATCCAACATAAAAGGCAGTTTGTGCCGCTAACACCTACTACATCGAGAAACGCTTTGAAAGAAATGTATTTCTTTTATCTGCTTTCTCGGACTTATTTTTTCGTGTTTACGCCCCTGATTAGGTATTTTCTATTTTCGAGTGTTGTTGCTGTTCTGTCCCCAACCATGCATGTATGTATGTCAACGGCGTGTTTTATACGAGGTTGCCCGACAAAGGCCATTCATCCACAAGCAGAAAAAACACCACAGGCATAAGGAGGCGGTGTGGGGCGAATGAAGAAGTGCGTTCCCTTCTTCCTTGCTCCCCTTCCCTCTCCGCGCTGTACACTTGCAATACCGGCGATGTTCTGATGAAAATATTCGTCAGATCATGCGTTCGCGTGTTAGCTACATGTACCAGCGGTTGCCGTTGCCTTCGCAGCTTCTGCAACAAGGAGAGACAGTGGCAGGAGCCAACCAACCGGCCATTGTTGACAGCTCCACGTTGCCTTTGCGTTTTCCTTCAGCCTTCTCCAGTGCCGACTTGTAAAGCATCGCTGTATGCTTCAGCCAGGCTCTTTTTTTTCGTTCCGGTGACTTGCTCTTTCAGTGTATCACAAGCAATCGTGCACAATGTTTTCAGCTCGTAGTTGCTGGTTCTTGAATAACGAATTATGCGAGATGGCGCATCTCAACACGTTGGAACAATTCGGCCACGGGTAGGCCAAGCCGGGAAAGAAAATAGGTGCATTGGGTGTGATTGTTGTTGCAGGTATTGTTTTGCTTGTCTCATGTTCGTTTTTCTTGGACACGACGCAATATTCGTTTTTTCGGGACGAAATACAACAACACAACAACACAGGTAATCGCGGACGGGGAAGCGGGCCTGCTGTTCAAGAACAAGCGAGACCGAAAGGTGGTCAACGTAGACCCCAAGGCTCCCCCGGGCGACAACACCACAAGGACGGAGATTCGCACGCCGGAGTACCGGCAGGTGGTCATCTACGACCATATGACGAGAAGGAAAAGCTGATCGCAAGGAAGGGGG